GTTGGCAAGAGTGTGGAGAACAGGGAACCTGCGTGCACTGTTGGTGGGCATGCAGACTGGTGCAGCTACTGTGGAAAGCAGTATGGAGTTACCTTAGAAAATGAAAAATGGAACTGTCTTGTGACTCAGCGATTCTACTTCTGGGGATTTGCCCGAGGAAACCCAAAACACTAATTCAAAAGAATGTATGCACCCCTATGTTCATTGCAGCATTATTTACAATAGCCAAGACTTGGAAACAGCTCAAGTGCCCATCAGCAGATGAGTGGGTGAAAAAGCTGTGGTACTTTCACAGAAGGTAACTATTTTTCTATAGAAATCCCATGTGGGTTTTACAATAGTTTTACCAATCTCTTCTGGGACATCAACTACTTTAAAATTTCCATAAGATAGTATAAGGGATTTTACACTTTCTACTGCATTAATTTGTATTGCATGGCTTGAAAGCTAATTTACAGTACCAAAAAAAAAAAGAATCACTTCACTTCAGTGCTGCCCCATAATGTAAGCTTCATGAAGTCATTTAAAACTACAATCAGGAATCACACGGAAGTTAAAACTCCACCACAGAAGTCACCAATGCAAATAAATAAACAAAGACACTAAATCAAATAACAGAAATCTTCCACAGAAGGGCATGCTCACAGAAACTCTGGCAATTACTACCTCCTTATTTAAAATTCTGCCTGGTGGTTATTGGCAACTTTTTTTTTAAACCTCAATTATAAGAGACATGCCCATTCAGAAAACATCCTAAATTCAGAAACATCAAAATGTGTGTGTGTGGGTGGGGCGCGTTTCTTAAAACTCAAGAAAATGTAGTATGTAAGGCAGAAAGCAAGTCTACAACTTAAAATGAGAACCACAACTGGCTGAACACCAGACAGTAAGTAAGGAGGGGGACACTGTGCTCTCCTGCACATGCTTCATGGGAAGCCAGGTCACCTGGAGGCTGCACACGCACACTGGGATTCAGCACTGACCGTCTGCTGCAATCTATCTTCATCATTCCGGTGAGCATGATAACATCCATCTCCCAAGGACAGCGAGGGCAAAAGGTGGGATTCCTCTAACTCACTTTCACTACAGAACAAGTTCCCTTCCAATGACTCAAGATGTACATATTTCTTTAAATATGTTAATTTAACAGAGTAAGAGTCACATCTTACTCTGCCCATAGTTACTTCTTTCTGATGATTTTGAAAAGGCTCTGCTTTGATTCACTACATGAGTTTATAATGAACTGTCCAAAGACAAACTTATTTCAAGTTACACCTTCTACAGGTACAAGTGCGCACACGCACACACACACAGTACCAACTATAAATAAAACAAAGATTTCTTAAATATAAATCTTACTGCCATCAATCACAGATGTCTAAAATAAAAACTGAACTTTAGATGATACAAAACATGCTACGATCCAGTGAAGTTTAAAAACCAACAAAATCAAGACTAAGAATTTGTTAACAATATTTACCTTATTTTTTGGTTTGTTCTGAGACATTTTAGATGATGAAAAATGAGGAAATGAAAAGAGTATACTCATAAAATTTGTATCATGTTCACAAAATACACAATTAATTACTATGTCCATAAACTAAATAATGAAGTACATATATGAAAGAGGGAAAAGTGTATGAAGCAGGCAGTCCCTAACATAAGGCAGACTATTCAGATGAATACTCACTGTGGCATTTTGCATTTTTTTCCATCCTGCCAAAATACCACCCGCAGTAGATGAACTGAATCTCTCAACTCTCTGAATCATTCATTCCCTGCCATGATCACTTTGGGCCTCCTATCTGAACCTCTGCTGGGCCAACTGCCTGAACCCTGAGAGCTTCCACCTAGCTAGTCAATTTTCTTCCTCTGTTACTGAGACTTGGGTATTTTGATATATTACAGACTTTTTAAAAAACTGCCCAGTTGGTGTGGCTCAGTGGATTGAGCATCGTCCAATGGACTGAGAAGTCCCAGTTCAGTTCCCAGTCAGGGGACATGCCTGGGTTGTGGGTTTGATCCCCAGTAGTGGGCGTGCAGGAGGCAGCCTATTGATGTTTCTCTCTCATATGGATGTTTCTATCTCTCTCCCTTCCTCTCTCTCTTAAAAAAAAAAATATCATCACTGAGTATGAATGTGTATGTGTGTGTGTGTGTGTGTGTGTGTGTGTTTATATTCAAATTTCTGCAGTTCATGCTCTTCTGGAATTTGACTATAAATATATCCAGCCTGAAAAACAAGTCCAGTTCTCCTTGCTAGTTGTGAATATTTATACAGTTAAATTAATATACATTTAACAAATAAAATTCAAAATTTCAGATCTAGCTACTTTAAGGTAAGGCTGCAAAAAGTGTAAATTAATAAGCGCTATGCTGAACAAAATTATCATTTGAGTTGTCAAAAAAGAGACAACAGGCCAAAGATGGAGCCACTTGTGTTAAGCTCCAAGTCGGCAAACTGACTTAATACCTCACCTAATTATAGTTTCAGCCTCTCCCAGGAATATAACCTATAACCAGTCGATCTGAAATTAGCTGATCAACACTAGTGAGGTAATCTCCTGGACAGACCCCTTCCTGCCTTCCCCTAAAAGAGAACCTTGCCTGAAACTATTTGCTCTTTGATAATAACTTCCTTGTCTGGCCCCACCCACTTTGCCTATAAAAACCTATTATCTTGTACAGCCCTTGTATCTGCTAGATGGATGCTGCCCAATTCCCGAATCGCTGAATAAAGGCAGTCAGAGCTTCAAATTTATTCAGCTGAGTTTTGTTCAACAATTAACACAATTTAGAGGCCCAGTCTCTATGATGTCTCTCTCTCTCTGGAATCAACTTCCAGGAATTCAAATATAAAGTTGTGTGGAGTCCAGATGACTAAAAAGAGTCCATTTCAAGATTCTTTGACTCACCTTGTTCTAAACTTTGTAATAATCCTAGATGCCTTGCCTAGGTGTTAGGGAGACCAATTTTCACACAGACTCATCATTTGTGACAGAAGACATTTTGGGGCTGACAAATAGCAGAATATGCTACCCCAAAATATGGCGTAAGAGTTATTTTAAGATGATTCAGAAAGAGCAGACACAGAAGGGGGCTCTGAAAACAGAGAAGTTATTGTTTAGTAAGGGAAATTTACATTTATAAAAGAAATCATTTGTAATGGGTGTCTCCCTTTAAAGAGAAGGATAACTGAAAATCACAAGAGAATGGAGAATCTTACTCAATAGAGAAGGCACCAACTAAATCAGCATAATAGACCCCTTGTTTACTGATTTCCCTGGTAACCTCCCATAACTGGCCTCCTCACCCTCATTTTCTTGTCTTCAGTTGAAAATGATATTTAAGCCTGCATTCTAAACTACCTCGGAGATTTGTTCCTTTTCCCTTGGTTATCCCACATGTAGACCCACAAGTATACGTGTCAATACAATTTTGTTTGTTTTTCTATTGTTAATCTGTCTTTTGTTACTAGGGCTTCAGCCAATAATTCAAAAGGGTATAGGAACTGTTTCTCCTCCTCTACAGGACTCCGCCTTCAAAACAGGGTGGTGCTAGAACTCCCACAGACATGTGATGGGGAAGCACAGGACCAATAGCCACCTCTCTAGCCTAAATCAGACCTCCTTCTCCTTTTATCCACAGTTGGTCACTGCCCAAGTTTTAAAACTTCAGGAACCATATATAACTTTTGTGAATAAGCTGTTTTTGCTTCCTGTGAATAATGTTTATAGACACTTTATATTTAAATTAAAATTTTTGAACTACCTACCTTAAAGTAGGTAGCCATTCTTAAAAATGGCTGCAACTTTGGTTACTGTTTGCATTAAATTTATTAACTTCTGAACTGGAATACTACCAAATATTTAAAACCTAAATTGTTGGTTTATAGTATCTCCAAGCAGAGGGCTACATATTGATTCTCTAAGATACCAAATAAATGATATAGTAGAAAATTTTATTATATGGTCAAAGTAAACATATTTGTACTTTTAAAGTCTAAGGCAGAGTACTGATTTAAGGATATTTATTTTAAAGACACCTATAATAAACATAATTATAGAAGATAATGATAACAATGGACTAAGTATAAGAAACAAACCCAGTCACTTTTACCTCAAAGTTAAGGATGCAAAGCTTTTTATTTCTTAGGTAACTGAATTTCAACTAAATTATGCAAAGTAGCCAATTCAATTTCACAATGCAAAAAGGTTTGGATAGGATCAACAGGTATGTTTACTAAAAGCTACCTGTACTTACTGGAAAACAAATGGGAAAAAGTGCCCTACTGTCACCACTATAACAGTGTGGCTGAAGCACTACTTTTCAGAGAGAGAGATTCCTAACTCAATTTGCAAAAATGCTACTCAGAGTAACATGTTAAATTCTACCTCTCCCAACATTTTATTTTTTTTAATCTGAGGAGAAATCCCAGATTGTTAAGTAAGTGCTACTATGTTGATTCACCTTTGGATGATCCTAGCCTGTAGGATCCATCTCTGTTTTAGTCATTGTTTCACCCCAAGTTTTTAACACCATACCTCATACTTGAGACATACTCAAAACACAGTTGTTGAATGAAGTCAATCTTTCAATTGGCTTCATTGTTTACTGGTACTCTTCCTACTTATTCTATTTCAAACCAAACTATACATTTGAAAAACCTAAAATTTCTCATATGTTCTATTCATGGAATTGTGAGAAAAAGGCTCTCCTTTTTCCTTAATTTTATTCCACTTATTTCAAGTCAGGAGTGAACTACTTGATTTTTTTTTTTTTTTTAAGTCTATTTCAAAATGTACCAAAACTACAGTGGAAATCTCTGCTGTGGTTTTGACTATCTAGAGACACTGTGTTCAGGAAATAATGGCACAGCCAAAGCACCAGGTCTAACTAAAACACTAGCTGGCTGTTCAGGGCTCATGGCATTTTAAAATTTACCTGAAACATCTAAGGTAATTCTAATTAAAAACATTATTTTAAAGCAGAGGACTTACCATTATAAGTTATTCTTGGCTTTGTTAAACACATCACAAGATGTAAATCCATTTCATCTGAGGGTACAAATTTTGAGCATACAGGGCACTTAAATCCTAAAAGAAAAAGTAAAAGAAAGCCATATTACTTAACTAGTCTGAATATCCAACTATTATTTCTCTTTACAAACATGGAAGACAGAGCATTTCAAATTTCGGTATTACACTTACAATAATATGCTACTTGTGTACAATTTAAAATTGAGAAAAGAGCTTGTGACTGTACTATCCAACTAAAATCAGTTAAGGAAGATCATCCCATTTCCAGTAAGACAAATTCAAATGAGGAGAACTGGTTCACTACAAAACTCCATCTTCTTCTAATGTAAGGGCCCAATCATTCTCATATTTGTCTGATTTTTTACATTAACCTGAACTTATGATTTTGTTACAATAGCTTTGTATTCTGACCATGCTGTGGAAATTACCTTCCCAGCCTGGTATAGTACAATTTGAGTCACGGGTTTTGTAGCTAAACAGTACCTTATAAACTATTCTACTCCACTGATCTTTTCAAGGTTTATCTGATGAACTAAGAGAACCTTTCAAAACAGCAAAATCAGGTCTAGAACCTAAGACCGCTGACTGCTAGTACAGCAGCCTTTCCGCCACACCATGCTACTACAATCACAATGCAAACAGAAAACAGGAGCATCAAACAGGGCAGATTTCTCAATCTTGACACCTCAATACTAGCTGGTTTCCTACAATATTCAATCTGCACTACTAAGTATTTGTCTGAAGTACTCTATTAAAAATAAACTGGTAGCCCTGGCCAGTTTGGCTCAGCGGTTAGAGCGTCGGCCTGCGGTCCGGAGAGACCCGGGTTCGGTTTCCGCTAAGGGCACGTACTTCGGTTGCAGTTTGTCCCCGGCCCTGGTTGGTCGTGCGGGTGGCAACTACTCGATGTGTCCCTTCACGTCGATGTTTCTCACTCTCTCTCCCTTCCTCTCTCTCCCTCCCACTCTATCTGTACAAAAAATGGAAAAATATCCTCGGGTGAGGATTTAAAAATAAATAAATAAATAAATAAACTGGTATACTGAAAGAGAGAATGTTATGCAGTCAGCTCTTTCCTGCCCCTCACTCACCAAGGAAACTGTCTGTCCTATCCATGGTTTCTTGTTGCTTCTCTGCTGAGCTCCTGTTCCCTCCCTGACATCCCTAAGGTGCTTAACACCTGATCCAAAAAAGCCATTTTACAGTTTAGGTAGGCACAACAATCGGAGTAGTGCAAAAAGATGGTCTAAGCCAATCCATTTTTCTTAGAAATGTGACTAAAAAACAGCAAGAGAGGACATGGATCAGCTGTAAAGGGCTGAAGCCAAAAGGTCACATGCAGGTAAGAGACTGGAGTGTCCATCCTGGCTCCTGTGCAAAGTGAACTTAGAGAGCAGACACTACGGGCAAACAGAGGAAAACGGTGCACACGGAGATCTTGAAGCAGATGTGCCAAAGAGCGGAAGAGCCACAGTGACAGCAGCTAGTACGAAGGGCGGTGAAAAGCAGCCAGCCCCCAAAGCTGCTTCCATTCCGGCAGCTCCACTGCAGTGCACGTGGGTGTGTTCTCACGGGCACTCCCTCCCTTCGCTGTGCCGTGAAACTCACTGCAACCAAATGAGTCAGACTAGAGTAGTCCCTAGGCAGAACGTTCTACAAATTAGGGAAAAGTTTTGGCATGGGTACTTAATCCAGGTATCCAACACCGCAAATAAAATGTATGGTTTTGAACACTATTTTTCACAGTGTATTAAAAGCATTTTAAAAAACTAAAGATTCCGGTGGTTCTTTGTATATTGTTTTATCTCCTTAGGCTTTACTTTATCTCTACATAAGATATCATTACTCATTCAAGATTGGCAAGAACTCAAAAGCTTGACAATGCATTGTTGGTGAGGCTGTGGGGAAACAGGCACTTCCCTCCACTGCTAGTGGGAATGCAAAGTTGTACAACCACAGAAAGCAATTTGGAAATACCTACCTAGACTGCGTATGTATTTTACTTAGCAATCCCACTACTTAGATCTCACCGCAAAAGTATGTTCCCAACAATACCAAGTAATATATTCACAGACAGGATTCTGAGAAGAGGGCAGAGTAGGAAGCACTGAGGAATCTGCCTCCCCACCTAGACAACCGCGCACTGGAGGCATCTATCTGCGTTACTATTTTGGAACTCTGGAATCTACTGAGGGCTCATAATTCCCAGGGGAAGACTTGAACAGTATACTGTGGTTAATTTTAGCTCTTAGCACAGTAGCAGCTTCCCTTCCTCCACCCCAGCCACATGACAGGCAGCGATGCACTTGTTCCTGGAGCAGCTTGCAAACAGCTTGCAGGAGGCAGGGCGGGCAAAAGGACCCTGTCCTCCAAACACTGGGAACCTGTGCTCTGATGGCTGATTGCTGCTTCTGATCCAGGAGGCACAAAAAGAAAGGCACTCACTATTGTTGGACCACCCTGCCATTGTTTTAAGCTCTTCCCAGTCTGGCTGAAGAGACTTCAGACCCAACTTCCATCTACAATTGCTTGAGAGACTCCAAGTGAGAACCCAAGAACACCATCAATTGATCCTATCTATTCACAGAACCTTGATAAATAAATTTATATGTTTTAATTAAAACACACACAATTTACTGTGGTACTCTTTGAAATAGCCCAAGATCAGAAACATATAATAGATCTGGTGAATAAACACATTATTAATCTACACAGTGGAGTACTACACAGCTATAAAAAAGAAATGAGAAAGGTCTCTATAAACTGATATAGAGAGATATCCATGCTTTAAGTGAAAAAAAAAAGCTGTATGAAAAAGAATCCAGCTATCATGCAAGAAAGAAGAGGTAAATAAGAATACATGTATATGTATCTGCCAAAAGAAAAACAAAGGAGAATAAAATTCCAACCTAAGATTTACATAAATGTTACCTAAGGTGGTGAGAATGTGGTAAAAAAGAAAAAACAGAGAGAAGGTATTCCTGAGTATACCTTTTAATAAGATTTTTGACTTCTGAACAATGTTAATGATATATGAATCCAAAAACGAATAATGAACAGGATTTAAAAAATTCCTATTAAAATTATATAAATATAAACAAGTGAACTTAACTATATAGCAAATAGGTACAAAGAAAAATAGGTACACACACACATAGCTCAGTCCACTAAAAGGGCCTAGAAGCAATAACAACTCAATAGTAAAAAACAGCCCCAGCCCCCAGATCTTGGGTTTCTAAATCTCATTCCCCATCAGAAGAAACGAGGGCTCCTTAGAGAAATGGCTGGTTCCGGGTCTAGGGCAGGGAAAATACAGGTGAGCCTACAGAAAGGAAGTGCTTGAGCACTGGAGCCAGCTTGAAAAGGCTTCTCCTCATCAAATTTGAACAATCTGAGAATCAAAATAATGACAAGATATTTTAAATGTAATAAGAATGCAAATTATATCATAATAATTATACCTTCTTTTTTAAATTTTTTTATTTATTTTTTTGGTACATGCCCCTAGCGGGAACCAAGCCCGGGACTCTCTGGTCTGAGGCTGACACTCCAACCGCTGAGGCAAACCAGCCAGGGCTAATTATACCCTTCTTAAAGAAGAAAACCGCCCTGGCCAGTTTGGCTAAGCGGTTAGAGCGTCGGCCTGCGGTCCTGAGAGACCCGGGTTCGGTTCCCCCTAAGGGCGCGTACCTCGGTTGCAGTTTGGCCCTGGCCCTGGTCGGTCGTGCGGGTGGCAGCCACACGATGTGTCCCTTCACATCGATGTTTCTCTCTCTCTCTCTGTTCCTCTCTCTCTCTCCCACTCTACCTGAACAAAAAAATGGAAAAATGTCCTCGGGTGAGGATTAAAAAAACAAAACAAAACATAAAACGGAAAAACTGGCTATCACCTTCAACAAATGTTCAAACTGAGTATCACCAACAAAAAGGCAAGCTGACATCTGTGGCCCCTAATGTGATTCACTGAGAACATGATACTCATGTGTATTTCTGCAAAATATATTATGAATCTAATTATGAGGAAATTTTTCAACAACCTCCAACATATAAGTAGTGCACCAAAACAAAACAAATTAATAGAAAAGGGGTATTTACTATGATAAAATAGTCAAGCAGGAGACAAGAAAATTTCAGCATTGCCCACCCCCCAAAATCTTATAATTAATTATAAGATTTATTTTTCAAACTATTAATTTGCTTTTGTTTCCATTTATTTGTTTTGGTGTCCTTCTTATATGTTGAAGGTTTTTCCCAAATTTTATCAATTGTCCCCAAAACTCAAAATGATACTCCACCCATAAAACAAGAGCAGGAGGATATAAACAGGAACAGAGAAGTAAACAAAGGCTCTTATAACTAAACTTTTTATAGAAATTAAGAATTCAATGCCCAGTCGGTGTGGCTCAGTGGTTGAGCATCAACACATGCACAGAGATGTTGTTGGTTCAATTCCCAGTCAGGGCACATGCCCAGGTTGTGGGCCAAATCCCCAGGGGCGGGGGGCATGCAGGAGGCGGCCAATCAATGTTCTCTCTCATTGATGTTTCTATCTCTCTCTCTCTAAAATCAATAAAGAAAATTTTTTAAAAAATTCAAACAGGCAGAATATTAACTTGAGGCAATAGTAATACCAAATGAAAATATAAATATTTACTGTGTAACAGGAAATAAAACACACTGGATAAATTAACTCATTTATCCCCATATCGCTTGAGTTAGGTACTAACATGAACCCTGTTTTACAGATGAAAAACTGAAAGGATAAGCAGTCTATGTAAAGCCATAAAGCTAGAGGTTGGCAATGCCACAATTCAGACCTCCTGGCTGCGGAGCCTAAGTCCTCTCCACAGGAAGGAGAGCCAGAAGTCAAATAGAATAATGAAATTTGAAGATCAATCCAGGTGGTTTAACATCCAACCAACTAGAAACAGACTTAAGGAGAAGAAACTATCAAAGACACAATTTCCCAAAAAGAAGTTCATGAGTATTGTGGACGAAAAGGGGTTTTGTACTAAAATGACAAATCCAGTGAAAAAAAGTGATCTCACAGGGTGATC